ATTCATTTTTGTAGATTGTGTGCCCATTAACAGAAATTTTAAAATATTGTTTGCATATTAGCCTTTTAAATAATGTGGGAAAAATCAGGAGTTACTAACAAAAAATACAATAATATTGGCTTTTATATTTACCTATATAAATTACCTATATAGTTAATCTTACCAGTGTTCTTTATTTCTTCTCATGGCTTTGAGTTACTGTCTAATCTCTAATTTCAGCCTGAAGTACTCCCTTTACCATTTCTTGTAGGGCAGGTCTACTGACTGGTAATGAGTTCCCTCAGCTTTTGTTTATTTGGAAGTGTCTTCATTTCTCCTTCTTTTTTTTTTTTTTTTTGAGACTAGTCTTGCTCTGTCACCCAGGCTGGACTGCAGTGGTGTGATCTGGGGCCACTGCCACCTTTCCCTCCTGGGCTTAAGCAATTCTTATGCCTCAGCTTCCCAAGAAGCTGGGATAACAGGCGTGTGCCACCACACCCAACTACTTTTTGTATTTTTTTAGTAGAGATGGGGTTTTGCCATGTTGCCCAGGCTGGTTTGGAACTTCTGGCCTCAAGCAGTCTGCCCACGTCATCCTCTCAAAGTGCTGGGATTAAACAGGTGTGAGCCACTGTACCTGGCCCCTCCTTCATTCTTTAAAGATAGTTTTGCTAGATATGGAATTTTTGGTGGATGTTTTTTTTTCCCTTTCTGACCTTTAAATATGTAATCTTACTTCTGGCCCCCATGGTTTCTGAAGAGAAATAAGCTGTTAATCTTATTGAGGATCCCTTGTTTTGATGGTACCTCTCATTTACTGTTTTTCAAAATTCTCTCTTTGTTTTTGAGTTTCACCTGTTTGACTATAATGTATCAGTGTGAATCTCCTTGAGTTTATCCTGCTTAAAGTTTGTTGAGCTTTTTGGATGTGTAGATTATGTCTTTCCTCAGATTTGAGAAGTTTTTGATTATTTCTTCAAATGCTTTTTCTGCCTCTGTCTTTTTCTCCTTCTAGGTCTTCTATGGTACATAGATGGGTACACTTAGTAATGTCTTACAGGCCCCTCAGGCTCTGTTCCTTTATCTTCATTTTTCTTTCTGCTACTGAGAGTGGACAATTTCAATTTTCTTATCTTCACATTTGCCAGTCCTTTCTTCTGCTTAAATCTGCTGTTGAATGCATCTGGCGAATTTCTTACTTTAGTTGTTTTTCAGCTCCAGAATTTATTTGGTTGCTTATTATACTTTCTGTCTTTACTGATATTCTCATTTTGTTTATTCATTTTCCCTCTTAGTTATTTGTCCATGTTTTTTTTTTATTTTCAGTCTCCTAGAGCTTTTTTTTTAAATGAAGTTGATTTAATGTGTTTGACTAATAATTACATTGTTTGGGCTTCCTCAGGGTTGATTTTTGTCAAATTCCTTTTTCTAGGGAGTGGGCTATACTTTCCCATTTCTATGTGTCATGTTTTGTAATTTTGTTGTTGTTGCTGAGAACTGGATACTCTGAATATTATAGTATGATAACTCTATAAATCTGTTTCTCCCATTCCTCAGTGATTGCTTTTTTTGCTTGTTGAGGGCTAAAGCCACCTATTTGTGGCTTTACAAGCTATTTTCGAAGAGTATGTATTCCATATTGTGTATAGTCACAAGTTTTTGTTCTGTTGTCTCTGTGGTTAGCTGGTGACCTAACAAAGATTTCCTTAGATATCTGGCTCCAAAAAAGGAGACAAAAAAGGTTTTACCTTCTTTAGTGTTCAGATAAATACTGACAGTGAAAGCTACTGCTGTGGAGAGTACTGAAACATGCATGTGCCTGCATCTGTCCCTTAGGGCACTCCAGACCAACCAAAATGTACAACTCTAAATTTTGAAGGACGTGATCCTCACTGTCACTCCTGGCACCAACTAGCAACTCCAAGAACATAGGCTGCTATTCCCACTGCCACAAGAGGTGGTGGGTAGTGGTGGTGGTGGTTCTGAGGAATGGGGGAGGATAATTGGTTTATGCATGCTGCTTATTAATACTTATGAAGGATCAGTAGCCTCTTTTTTCATCAAATACTCCCTTGGTTGTTAAAAGGGTTTGATCAGATCCCAGAGTTCTACTAAAGTACTTGATTTCAGTTTCTTTTACTTTTTAAAAAACTCTTACTTTTTTTTGAGATGGAGTCTTGCTCTGTCTCCCAGGCTGGAGTGCAGTGGTGCAATCTCAGCTCACTCGGCTTGAGCCTCTGCCTCCTGGGTTCAAGCAATTCTCCTGCCTCAGCCTCCTAAATAGCTAGCATTACAGGTGTGTAATGCCACCACTCCCAGCTAATTTTTGTATTTTTAGTAGAAACAGGATTTTGCCATGTTGATCAGGCTGGTCTCGAACTCCTGACCCCAGGTGATCCACCCGCCTTGGTCTCCCAAAGTCCAGGATTACAGACATGAGCCACCCGTACCCAGCTCCAGTTACTCCTTCTAGCTCAACTTTCACTTTGGTGGGGAGACTGACCCCTAGATCTTTCCATCCTATCATTTTGTATCCATGATGTCTTTTGAGGTTCAAGTGTTTTAAATTTTATTAAGCCCAGTTTGTCAACTTTTTCTTTTATAAAGAGACTTTATAAACTTTTCTTTTATAAAAGAAAAGAAACTTTTATAAACTTTTTCTTTTATCATGCTTTTGGTGCCATATCCAGTAATTCTTTGCATAAGCCATGGTGACAAAGATTTTCTCCTGTGTTTATTAGTGTGGGTAGATAGGAAGCCTTTAGGGCTAAGACAGGTCACATAGAGATTGTAGAGAAAGTATGACTTGGTGAGAACTGTCTGGCCTGTGTGGGGCTTGCAGAGGAAATTGGCACACTGATGCTGGCAGGAAGCCTTTGGTGGAGTCGTTTTTATGTTGAGCAGGCTTCAGGAACACCATCTCCAGGTTGAGGCTGCAGATTCACCAAAAGGCTGCAAGTTTGCTGAGGGGCTGCAGTCTGGGCATCTGGCTAAGCAGAGCTTTACTGGATGTCCTCACACTTCTACCCCTGATCCACTGTGCAGCCCCTGGAAACCACAGGAGAGCCCCTTTTTCCTTGTCTCCTTTTGGTGTCCTCTACTCAGAAAGCTTAACAATTTCATGTTTGTTTTAAAGGAGAAATGATTAAAGGAATTTTGTCTATTATCCTAGAGCATAAAGGCGAATTTGGAGCAAAGAGGTATTAGAAGAATCATCAACAGAAATAATGAAAAAGATAAACAAACTGGAAGGAAAATGATAGCCATAAATAAGATGTAAACATTTGTTTAAATCAGCTACAAAGTGTTTTCTTGATAAGTAGTGCACAACTTACCAAACATTGTTTATATTAATAGACCATCCTTTGAAGCTTGAAAATTTTTCTTAGAAGTATTCCTAGTCCTTGGCATATTCACTGTTGAAAACTTTCAGCTGTTTAGTGATTTTATGAAGTAGAGAATTAAGCCAGTGTACATGGTCTCTTGAGGTGAAACCTCCAGAGTGTCTTAAAGTAGCAATTATTCTAAGTGTCATATGTTTATCTCCATTATACACCTGAGGAAATAAGAGTTTCTTTTCCTTCCTTTTTTTGGAGGAAGGGTCTTGCTCTGTTGCCCAGGCTGTAGTACAGTGGCAATATCATAGCTCACTGCACCCTTAACTCCTGGGCCCAAGTGATTGTCCCACCTCAGCCTCCCAAGTAGCTGGCACTACAACGTGTGCACCACCATGCCTGGCTATTTTTTATTTTTTGTAGAGACAGGGTCTCACTACTTTGCCCAGGCTGGTCTGAAACTCTGGGCTCAAGTGATCCTCTTGCTTTGACCTCCCAGTGTTGGGATTACAGGCATGAGCCACTATGCCTGGCCATTTCTTTTCTTTATTATTGATTAGCCTGCATTCTTTTGTAGGAGTCCCTCAACATTTTTCATTAAAAACTTATTTTCTGTTATCACTGTTCTGTACTTTTAAGATATATTGATATGGCATTTTGAGTATAGACAAATCTAATTATTTGGGACTTCAACCTATTTGAAACTGTTTGTAACTAATTGTATGTGTGAATTTAAAATTTTCTTTATGTTCATTTATAGCTTATGCAAAGGGTTTATACTAAGTTGACTTCATCAGTGCCTATTTCTAATTAGTTCATGGGCCGCTTGGTCATGTTGTTTTGGAGGGTACGTATTTTGAGTATCATCCCTGCTTACATAAAAATATAGATACTTAATTGGGTTGGTTAGGGCATGGAGATAATAGATAAAATCCTTAATACTTGTGCAAGTTTTTTTTTTTTTTTAGATTTTTTCAGTGAGAGATACTTTCTTCCTTGGTTATATATTGACTGTTTTGTAATAAGCTTTCTTATACATAGCTGGCCTAGGAAAAACAGTTTACATATATGTGTTATAGCAATGGAGGGTTAATAGATATAATTTTATTATAAATTATTACTGTAAATATTTATCCAAATATTATATTACTTAATTCTTTAACTTTTATATAGTTTCTTTTAAATGTTTTTGTTCTTAGAATTTTGGCTATTAATTTTAAGTACATGTACAGTCAATTCTAGTATACTTTGTAGCTGAGTTAAACAAATGTTTGTATCTTATTTATGGCTATCATTTTTCTTCAAATTTGTCTTTTTATTATTTCTGTTGATGATTCTTCTAATACCTCTATATAAGCCAGATACTCTTTATTTTATTTTACTTTAAGTTATGGGACACATAGGCAGAATGCGCAGGCTTGTTACATAGGTATATATGTGTGCCATGGTGGTTTACTGTACCTATCAACCCATCATCTAGGTTTTAAGCCCTACTTGTATTAGGTATTAAGCCAGATATTCTTAATTGAGCTTTGTTATTCTAAGTAATAGTGGTATAAATAGTAGAAATAGCTTTATTTAAAAATATTTTTGTTTTTGCCTTGGGAGCAAACTTAGTATGAAATTACTGTTAAATAGCCCTCTGGTTACAAAAAACACAATTCATGTAACTTTTCTGTGTTTCAGAAACCTTTTTCCAAAAAGGACAAAGGAACTCAAATCAGTTGTCCATAGTGCTCCTGGTTGGAAATTATTTGGTAAAGTCCCTCCTAGAGAGAATCTTCAGAAAACATCCAAAATCATTCAGCAGGTAAGTACTGACATAGCCATGTAGTTTGCACTAGCTTTTCAAGCATTTTTTAAAAAATAACTAACCATATTTTATTTTTATTATTTTTCTAGATACAGACTTTTGGGATTATAGGTATTTATAGGGACCTGCTAAATTTTGTAGAAAAACAGATCACATATTTTCCATTATCTTTTATAGTTATGAAAATTCTTTAAAGGAATATTGATTTTTTTTAACCAGTTATTCCTTGAATAGATTTTTTTAAAACTTAGCGAATGATTCTTACCACATACTGTTTGACTCCAGTTGCAGTTGGTAGCATTTGTCAGTGGCACAGATGTGTGACTGAGTATTGGTAGTTGTGAACTGATGAAATAGTAAAAAGCAAAAACTGAGTAGATTATGAGGTTGAACTCTTTCCTTTGTCACTTTTCTGGTGTCCTCTCTAAACCAAGGACTTTGTAAATGAGTAGAGTTGGTACACAGTCTGTTTCTAGTAATTTAGAAGCTATTTCTTCTGATACTTCTATTAATATCTGTATTCTTGAGTTCTTAAGAGTTTCTGATCTTGACTTATGAACTTTGGCTCTTCAGTACTAGATTAGTGATAATAGAAAGCAGTGAGACTGGATCAATCTGCAGTGTTTTAAAGTTCAGAAAAGTTATTGCTCAGAAGAAGATATGTAATACATTTCCTATTTTTCTCCTTTCCAATTGTAGTTTACCAGATTTAACACAGCTAGCATTTATAAAAACAATCATATGAAGGCAGTAACCGTCATTCAAATTGGAAAAGATATCTTCCTTTACGGATTTAATAGTCTTCCTTTTATTGCTCAGAAGAAAAACTGGTTTTCCAGGTAATATGAAGAAATAATTTTAGATCTTTAAAAGCATTACTGTATTTAATTCTTTTTTCTTCTTTTTGCATTGAATTTATTTTTTCCTCAGGTAAAACAGGAAGTTAGGGAAACACACTACATTTTACAACCCATATTATTTTGTAGTTGATCCTAACCCTTCTTGACACAGCTGTCAAAAGCACTAGCTGTTTAACCATAACCAAGGTGTTCATCCCCACAGAATGTACATGGACAACCCTAGAGGACTGCATATTTCTCCCTGAGAGAAGCAAAAGACAGACAAACAAAAGGCGGTCTTTCTAAGCAGCCCCTCCCTTTCCCCTTTGAGGGATTTACCTGAACTTTCTAGCTATTCAGCACTTAGACCATCCTCCTCCTCTCCCTGTAAACCAACTTAATTTCTTTTTTCAAGAGACTGGGTCTTGCCATGTTGCCCAGGCTGCCCTCAAACTCCTGGGCTTAAGTGATCCTCCTGCCTTAGATTCCTGAGAAGCTGGTACCACACCTGGCTTGTAATTAATTTTCTTTACAAGTGATTAAAATAGTGAATAGTTTATCTATTGGTACTTAAAACTGTATGCTGTGATCCCCAAGCCATGTGCTCAGACACTCTGGTGTTCTGCACTTAACACACTGGGGTACTGTGGGATATTTAAATTTTTTGAGGCAAACTCAGTGATATTCCACATCAGTTGGATATGGCTTAGACTGTTAATTTGAAGCAGTACACAGTTCCAACATTAAATACCACTACATACTTTTCTGTGGCATCATATCTTTGTGAATCTGTTTTTTCCAAAATTGCTGTGATGAAAACCAGCTACTGTACAAAAGTCATTGTGGGACTGGAAATGAGGGTGATACCTAATCTGATTTTAAGGTTTGAGAAATTGTATATAGTGCACAAAGCCACACATGCCCATATTGGTAATCAGTTGTGATTAAGAATGAGGCTGGGCGTAGTGGCTCATGCCTGTAATCCCAGAACTTTGGGAGGCTGAAGCAGGTGGATCATTTGAGGTTAGAAGTTCAGGACCAGCCTAGCCAACATGGTGAAACCCCATCTCTACCAAAAATACAAATAAGTAGCCAGGCATGGTGGTGCATGCCTGTAGTCCCAGCTACTTGGGAGGGTAAGACAGGAGAATTGCTTGAACCCAGAAGGTGGAGGTTGCAGTGAGCCAAGATCACACCACTGCACTTCAGCTTGGGTGACAGAGCGAGACTCCATCACACACACACACACACACACACACACACACACACACACACGTATTTTTTTTTCAATTTATGTGTTTTTTTTTTTTAGTGGTTACTGTTAGGATATATATCCTTATTAAATTGTTTAGACATAGCTACTTATTAAACAGAATAATTAGGTATTTCTTTTGGCTTAGGAGTTACTGTGAAAAAATTACTGAGACACTAAAGACATTGACCAAGAAAGATTGGAAACCTCTGCTATTAACTCCTTTTTTTTTTGAGGGGGAGAGGGGTAAAGTCTGAAAGTAACTTCTCTTGTCTAGAGTTTTTCAGAAGACCAAGTTTGCCCTCTAGAGGCAAAACGGTGGTCTTGCTACTGAAGGTTTCTGTAGGTATTCTTGATTTTTTATGATAGTTTAAATATGCATGCACATACATTTTTATATCTTTATATAAACTAACATTCTATGATATTTTCTTACCATAAGTCTCTGAAGAAATTACTAGTTGGATAATTATCTTTGCTGATATACTGTGTACCTTTAATCTGCTGTTTTCATTTTAGAAAGCCAAGACCTCACATTCTCCTTTATATATATGACATAAAAACTTGATGAGTGCTCGGGAAAAGAACAGCTCTTTTTTATATGGGAAGAAGAAGTAGAGCTGAAATGTAGTTTCTGCCTCTGTGGCCCGTTCTCTGATCCTTTAACAGATTATTGTTTCCCTGAGCCACTTACTTTACTTTTTGAGCTTTCTAGCTATGTCACAGTTATTAGTGTATATTTTAGTGCCCTTTTTGTGGTTAGGTTTGTTCTCTGGGAGGTATTATGTATAGTCAAGTTATTGTTCTTCTGACCCTTTTCTACCTTCAAAATATGTATTGGCCGGGCACAGTGGCTCACACCTGCAATCTCAGCACTTTGGGAGGCCGAGGCAGGTGGATCACCTGAGGTCAGGAGTTTGAGACCAGCCTGGCCAACATGGTTGAAACCTGGTCTCTACTAAAAATACAAAAATTAGCTGGGTGTGGTGGCAGGTGCCTATAATCCTAGCTGCTCAGAAGGGCGAGGCAGAAGAAACCCTTGAAACTGGGAGTTGGAGGTTGCACTGAGCCAAGATTGTGCCAATCCAGCCTGGGTGACAAAAGCAAAACTCTGTCTCAAAAAAAAAAAAAAAAAAAAAAACACATATGTATCACTTTTACCATGTGATGAAACATGTTTTTACTTCTTGCTTTCTGCTTCAGTGTGTGTCCTCTACTCCCTATTTGTCTAACTTTGTCGTCCTCTTCCCTGCAATTATCATTTTTCAAAGTGGGTATGATTTTCTCTTGATAGTAATGGTAAATTTACAATTTTGTATCTCTGTTCTAAATTAGAAACATTTTTTTCACAGCCCTGATTTTTGAATTCTCTGAAACATTATAAAATTGTATCTGAGAATCTTTACCATGTATGCTTTCAGATAGGTGTTACATGTTTGGAATCAGAAACCGAAAGTGAGGATAATATCAGTAAAGCCATGAGGAGTGTTATGACACTTCTGTCCTGTTTTGGGATAGGGTCTTAAGCTGTTATGGCTTTAGGAAATGAAGAGGTAGCTAGTAATTTCGGTGTAAAAAACTACTAAGAGAAATGATGCCTCACTTGCCTTTTGAATGGCAAAACAGTCAGATTTATTAGGAGATGAGAGTAGTAGTATTTCATTGGCTAATAACTTTATAAAGCTAGTCTTCAGAATCTCTAGGAGATGGGGCTTGCTATGTTGCCCAGGCTGGCCCCAAACTCCTGGGCTCAAGCAATTCTCCTGTCTTAGCCTCCGGAGTACAGGGCACTACAGGCGCACATCACTGTGCCCTGCAGAGTTGCCATATTTTTAAATATAACTATGTTATTAAGCCAAACATTTCTTTAATGGAAAGACATCTGTAGGATTATACACTAAGTAAAGAAAAAAAGATTTAATTTACAAAGTTTTTGCTGGGTGCGGTGGCTCACATCTATGTCCCAGCACTTTGGGAGGCTGAGGCAAGTGGATCACTTGAGGTCAGGAGTTCGAGACCAGCCTGGCTAACCCCATTTCTATTAAAAACACAAAAAAGTTAGTGGTTATAGTGGTGCTTACCTGTAACCCTAGCTACTTGGGAGGCTGAGGCAGGAGAATCACTTGTACCTGGGAGGCGGAGGTTGCAGTGAGCCAAGGTCACACCACTGTACTCCAGCCTGGGCTGTTTCAACAAAACAAAACAAAACTTTTTTCTCTATTATTAGGTACACAGATAACACATGATTATATTCTCTTTATAAAATAGAAAAGATATATCATAGAATGATATATCTCAATTCACTTTCCTTTCACATTTTTAGGCCTTTTAAAATTCACTTTTTTGTGTGTGGAAAACACGTAATTATTTTTGGATGTATATATTTTGCATATGTGGTATTATATACATATATTTTTTTTTTCTTTTTTGAAATTAAAATAAATTCAATCTTTTTTCTTTAATAGAGACGGGGTTTCACCATGTTGGCCAGGATGGTCTCAATCTCTTGACCTCGTGATCCACCCGCCTCGGCTTCCCAAAGTGCTAGGATTACAGGCGTGAGCCACCGTGCCCGGCCTTATATATGCTTTTTTTTTCTATTCAAGAATGAAATGTCACCACGTGTATTTATATGTACACACACACATACACACACAGACAGATGTATATATATATAATTTAACTCTACATGTTTTGTACCTGTAGCTTTTCAGAGATATGTGGATTCATAAGTGAAAGATACCTGTAGGTTAAATGTTAAATTTTTTTTTATTCCTATGCTAACTTTTATTACAAGTCTGATCAATTTTAGTGCTTTCCGTGTTAACAGTAAAGAAACATAAAAAACATTTTAGGATTATAGCAAAGTCAAACTGACTGAAGTTTGGCATTTAACTTGATGATCA